GTAACTTAAACAGAATCGGCTTGATGTGTTCTCTAGTGGCCCCACCATTCATCAGCCACACAGCTCGACTCTGGACCAGTTGCAGTCGCCGGACCCTCTTCAAAGGCAGCCCCACGTAGAGCGCATTGCAGTAATCTATGCGGGATGTTACCAGTGCATGTGTAACTGTCATGGGACTCCGCTCGTCCAGGTAGGGCCGTAGCTGGTACAGTTTCCATAGCTGAAGGAAGGCGTTCCTGGCCACCAAGTCCACCTGGGCTTCCAGAGTTAGACTGGGGTCCAGGAGCACCCCCAGGCTGTGGACCCTGTCCCTTAGGGACAGTGTAACCCCATTCAGGGCAGGGAAATGTCCCTCCAACCTGTCCGGCGAAGCTTTTTTTAGCTTCCTTGTGGTTTTTCTAGAGTTGAGAGGACCTAAGATTCACTTGGGTTTGTTTTCATAATGACAAACTATTGTTAACTGTTGTGTCTGAAGGCACCTTCATAATGTAATATGAAGTCAAATAGTCGGTTGTTTTGTAAGCTTTAGAAGAAAAAAGCATATTGGCTTTTCTCAGATCAGAGTGTCTGTGCCTCCGTGCTGTGAATATAATGTACTGACATGAGTGCCACAAATCCAAAACTAAGAATTATAAATGCCATAAATGCTGTATGCTTGATACTACATTCCTTAACTATAATTGGATTTAACATACATGTATTGCTATTGTTGGATCAAGGTTCACTGCAGTTTCAAAACATCTTCTTTTGTAGGCATGGGATTACTCTGTGAGTGGAGAATTGTCCTATCAACAGAAAGGGGTGTTTTGGGGGATGCAATCTTCATAGATTGTCCTTCCCGCATCCTCTTTTTATAGTCCCCATCATACACTCTGTTGCAAAGTTCCACTTGTTTCCAAAAAAGGATGGAGACACTAGAGAGAAATGTTATGGTACCCTGGGGAGCCTGCTGCGTAAATAATGGAGCCCTTTCATCCATTGAAGGAGGATGCTGAATCCACGCCATTCTCTTTCTCCTAAGTTTTTTTTAAATAATAATACTGTGGTGGGAATTTGCTCCTTTTTTTCCAGATTGCAAAGCTTCTATTAGAACATGGGGCTGACATAAATGTAAGTGATAAGCAAGGCAGGACACCACTCATGGTGGCAGCTTGTGAAGGACACCTGAGCACTGTTGAATTCCTAATCTCCAAAGGTAAAATAACTGTTTTAAAGGGTCCTGTTTACTTTTCAGCCATTTCAGGGTAGATAAACTAGCTTGTCAGCTTAACATTCAAAGTGATGTATGGCATGTTTTATGAGTTAAGGTTGAACTCTGTATTTTAGACTAAGATCATATAGGATATTAGGAACCCAGAAGGAGAATTTGATAAACTTTTAACTGAAGAATATTATATTTACATTTTGATTTACTGGGAGAGCCCGTTTTTCTCTCAAAGAAGGTTATTTTTGGCTTGTGCTAGGTGCAGACATCTCATCACTGGACAAGGAAGGCCTGACAGCATTGAGCTGGGCTTGCCTCAAAGGACACAAGAGTGTGGTCCAACATTTGGTCGAAAAAGATGCCGCAATAGACCAGACAGACAAAAATGGAAGAACACCCTTGGATTTAGCAGCTTTCTATGGCGACTCAGATATTGTAAGTCTCATCCAACAGCGTGCCTGCTGTTAGTTTATCACTTTCTGAAATCAAGCCGAACTGCTGAGATGTGGCCTGTTGGAATGCTGACTAAGCAAATTCAGGCTGCCTTTTTCATGTGTTTGAAGGTGTCAGTAGACATGCTTAAAAACACACACCCTTTTATTTTCTTTAATATCTAGGACACCTTTAATGTTGAGTCCCGATTTTTCATTTTGTAGAGTCTGTCTCTGAAGGGAACACAAGCATACACACAAAAATCCTTTATTTTTATTCTAATGTATTAGGTCACACTGTACTTTAAAGCTTGCACAGTGATATTTGGAAAACAAGAAAAGTGTGTCAGAATACAACATGAGATTGTGAAGAAGTATTTATAAGAAATAGAGTTTTCTTTTACTTTACCTTGAACATGTATTATTCGGCTGACTTGAGCAGGATTTCTGGGATGTGATGCCTGAACTCAATAACTGTGCATCTACTTGCGAAACAACAAAATGTTTGATTTAATAGAAAAGCAAAGCTGTTATAAATTCACTCAGCTACCATGTAGGATGGCAATCATTAGTTGATCTTTTTGTTAACATGCATACCACATAAGCACAAATTGTGCTGTACTATATTGTTTTGCATGTTGTGCTCACTTCAGCTTACATCATCCGCTAATAACCTGCATGGCACAACTGAAATCATCAAAAGCTCCCTTCCAGGAATGATTAAAGTCTTAAAATGTTAAGTAATTCCATTTTGTCATATGAAAAGTCCTAAACCCCGAACTACAATAGTTAAATGTCTGCCTTTAAAACATAAACCCAACTTTATTTAGGCTACTTTTGCCAAACGATTTCCTAAACTTCATTTTGAAAAGTAAGCATTATTAAGCATTTGTTTAGGGGTACTGTTTCCTGTAGTCTAATTTCAGCCTGAAGCATTTTATTAATTCATTATGTAGAAACTAACACGCTTCTTTAGGAACTACCGTGTTTCCCTGAAAATAAGACAGGGTCTTATAGTAATTTTTGCTCCAAAAAACACACTAGGGCTTATTTTCAGGTTAGGTCTTCTTTTTGGGGAAACAGGGTAATGCCCCAGAACAAACCCAAGAACAATCCAAAAGTTTGTTGGCTGGTGTAAGTACATATAATTGAATAAATCACAGTGATAAACTTCTACTGCTTAACGAGTTACCATTTGCATTCCCAGTCATCTGCCAAATCACGCAGCGTGCACATGCCTAGGAATGCAAGTAGCAAATAATTAATCATTGGCAGTTCACCATCATTTACACCATTTCACTTATGCTGACATAAACCAACAATATGATTCTGGTAATTAATTTCTTGGAGCTTTTATCAGAGAAGTGTCAGTAGATTGTACCCATTGGCATAAAGTTGTGGTTCATATATTTTAAAAAAATAATTTTTTTTCCTGATCATTTTATAGGTACAGTATTTAGTGGAGAAAGGTGCAGTTATTGAACATGTCGACAACAGTGGCATGCGCCCACTGGACAGAGCAATTGGATGTCGAAACACATCAGTGGTGGTCACGCTGCTTCGAAAAGGAGCCAAGTTAGGTTAGTGAAAACTTACCACTTGTGCCAAAATAATATTGTTTTATTTAGAAGGGAGATAATCATTACCTTATTATAAATGTTTAAAATGCGTCATATATAGTACTTGTATAAAAATGTGTTTTAGTGTTCATATATCCATCAAAGACATCCAGATGTTTCCTAGCAATTCAGATTTCATTTGGTTTTAAATATAGTAATTTAAACTGCCTGAAAAGACATTGAAATATTAGCAGACACAGTGGAGACTGACCAGAAGATTACTGAAAGTCATATGATCCAAGGCACCTGGCAAAAGCAGTTCATTTCATGCTGGTAATTGTGTGGTGCCATTGCTAGCTTTTGGATAGTAACTATGGGACTACATAAGCTATTGTTGTCAATTATTATGTGTTTTCTAAAGTTATCCTTTTGGGAGCACTTTGATATTCCATTTCCTGAAGCGGAGGAAATCCAGTCCAGATCATGAACTATAGCTGTTTGGAGTTACATTTCATCTAAAGGTTTCATGGTGGTATTAGCAGAGGTGTGCTTAAATGTGAACATTCTAAACTTTCAGGAAATGCAGCCTGGGCAATGGCTACTTCAAAACCTGATATTCTGATTATTCTGCTACAGAAGCTTATTGAAGAAGGAAACATACTGTACAAAGTAGGTGGATCATTACTTCTGCTTACAGCGTTGTTTTTGGAGTTGTATGTTTGGATTGTTACACAATGAGGGCAGGTTATCAGTGGTTCAGGTTGCTCTGTCAGTATCTGAGCAAAATAAGAGAATGTGCAGTCATGGGTGTGCAGTCATAGAGTGGCTTCTGTTTCTGTTATAAATACTCTTGAATGTAGAAGAAATCAGGGTAGAAATAAGGCTTCAAGTTAAACTGAATTGCATGCTGTAGCTGTTGTCCAAATGGTATTTTCTGCAGTCACATATTAATAACTGTGCATGCACATGTGCATTTCACAAAACAGACTCTTGTTCTTCATGAGGAAGAGCTATGCTCTGTCACCTTCGGTTCCCCTCATACAGACTTAGTTTTCTACACATGTGCTACAAATGCTGCCTATCTTTTCTGTGTTGAGAGAGAAAGACACAGAAAAGTGGGAAGGAAATGATGACATCCAGGAATACTGGAAGTTATAGGAAGATATGGTCCCTGGATTTTAACATGGCCCCTGTGTAGATCTAGATAGATAACAAGCTGTCTTAGCTAGAGCTCAGCATTAGCCCTCAGTTATCTGTCTCTGTAAAGGAGTGTGCTGCTGAAGTTGTGAGCAATTGACTAGCCATTACATCTTTCACAAAACAGCAATGATGACACACCATCACCCACCTGTGGTACAGAGAATCAGCTCCAGCATTGCGACTTGTGATTTGAGTGGATGTGCATGTAAATTCAAGAAGATCATAGTGCTATGCAGATGTCTTTCATAAGAGCACTATTAATCCATGTATTGCTCCATGAACTTCGGGCTTTATAGTCTAGAACAGGGGTCATCAACCCCCGGTCCGCGGCCCAGTACCGGTCCCTGGTCTGAGCTGGACCGGGCCGTGGAGACAGACTTCCTGGCCCCCCCCGCACTCACCCCCCCCGCAAAAGCCCTACCGCCTCCCTTCCTCCCTCTGCCCTCCGAAAGCAGGAGCAGAAGCAA